AGTAAAAATTATTAGCATTTTGGCTTCTTCACGTTTTGGGCTCTGGCCGCCGTCTTACAAGTCAGATCAGGCTCATTTTTGGTTCACACACTCGTGAACAGATGCTCTAGATACTCTAAGGGTACCAAACTTGTACTTTGATTTTCAGGTCAAGGTCAGGTCATCACAGGTCACGAAAATATTATATCATCCGTCGGTCACGTGACACATGTTTTATGGTCCATTTAGGCCAAACATTTCGAATTTGATGTCGTCTGTGTCATTCGAGGTCATTTTGAGTCAAATTTTGCTCAGGTCAGGTCACTTTCAGGTCAAAAAAGGTCAAATTTTGAAGTTAAAATTTTTCAACAAAAAAGGTGTCTATTGGATGCAGTTTGAGCTCAAAAACACGATGGTGCTATTTATATTGGCGTACGATGTCAAATTCGTGCTGAAAAATTGATTTGAAAAATTAATAATTGCTAATTTTTTGCAATAATGCGTATAACTTGGCCATTTTTGAAGATATTTAGCTAAAACTTGCTAGAGTTAGTCATAATAATGCGTTCTATCACATATATTCCGGTTTTTTCGAAAAGTCAAAAAGTTTTTGAAAAAATGTAAAAATATAAATTTTGAATTTTATTATATAAAATTTTCGAAATTTTCAAAATTTCGAAAATCTGAGATAGCAGTTTGATAGCGCAGTCTATTCTGAGTCCGCTCATGCAAAGAAATTGGATCTAGCTTAAAAACTGAGCTCTTGGGAGCGATTGCCGTGGTTCAATGTTTTGCGTCGAAATCGGCCGAACATGACGTCACTCTGACGTCATTTCCGGCCGACCTATGGTAGGTACGAAGTTCAAATTTTGACACAAGGTGTCAAATTGATGCAGCCGAAGGTGCTGAAAGTTTGGCGTCAATACGTCAAGCGGTTTGGAAGTTATTGCAGAAAAACGGGAGGGGGGGCTATAAATAGCCCCCCCCCCCCAGTGGGGCGCGGGTTAATGACTCGACCATAATGCACATAAAGTAACTAAACAGCAGAAATGTTCAATATAGCAAGCGAAGTGATGCTTCAAAGTTCAAATATCAAAAGTGATTACTAGCAGTTCCTTATTTTCGCATTCGGAAGGCTGCATCGTATTCGTACTGCATGAGGACATCTTAAGATAAAAGATGTGATAATTAGGTACGCCAGCAAAAATTGTTCAGCGCAAGTCATTGTCCAGCGGTCCTAATACATGGTATTATCTCAACAAGTAAGCAATGGGACAGACAAGGCAACCAACGAGCAAAGCAAGAGGACAATATTCTTGTTTTGGTTATGCGTTCTGTAAGGTACAGGCAAGCTGAATAACATTTCTGAAAACGACTTTCTTGTCGAGCGAAAGGCAAGCGATTTTAATTAAATAGCATTTCCAGCCATGACTTTATACTATAAGTAAGCAGCCGGGTGTTTATGGTCACACACGCACTCGGCGATCAGGTGAGCTCGGGAGGGGGACTGCGGGCGGCGGCCGCGGCCGACTGACCTGCGTTCCGCGCCGACGGACCGCCGCCACCTGCTGCCGTCTCGATGCGTCGCCGTCGACTGGCGGAGCTCTCGGCCGGCCGAGTGGAGCCCACCTGAGCCGACTGCAGGACGCAGGCTCCGACGGTACCGACGGGCCGCGGGCCGCGGCCTGCCGACGGCCGTTCTCAGGCCGCCCACCGACGACACCGCCCTCATCAGGTCGAGTTACGGCCACCCCAACCGGCCGCGCGGGCTCAGACCACCGGCGTCTCGGCTGACACACCATCGAGGACTGGACGTCGCCGCCACGGCACGACCCCGGAGCAGGTGTCAGCGGCTCGACCGGAGCATGCCAGCGGGTCGACCGGAACAGGTGTCAGCGGCCCGACCGGACACAGGTGTCAGCGGGTCCGCCGGAGCAGGTGTCAGCGGCCCGACCGGAGCATGTCAGCGGCTTGGCCGGACTCAAAACATTGCTCTCGTCGAGTTGCGTTTAATGAACTAGCTATAATTGTTATATCCTAATGAGTTATAATTGGACCTTAACCCTATTAGTGGCAGGGGGGGTTGTTTTTATCCACCCCTCAGGTTTTTCGGGAATATCTCCGAAACCGCTGAAGCTACGATGCTGAAATTTTCTGACTTTTCCTAAAACTAAATTGGGCACATTCCCTGAAAATTTCAAGTTCATAACTTTACCAGGGGCGGCTCCAGAGCACTGGGAATTGGGGGTCCTATTCGTGAAGCGAGTCATTTGGGCGAAGATCACGATGCTGCACCAGTTTTACGAACAGTGAATGAAAGGTATCATGTGATAACATATACAAAGTTATTGTGCATCCTCTTTTGACACGTTTTTGCTATAATAGGCGGATCCAGGCGTCCAAAAAGGGGGGTTATTTTTTACCTCCCAACATAGGTGCCCTGACACCGCCTATGCATGACCAATACAATTTTAGTCGTTCTCTCATAAGAAAATTGTAGCATAACAAGACCATTGCCACCCTTTTTAGAAACAGTACCAACAAAAACCTTATTTACTATACTTTTTGTGTACCCCCAATCTCAATGATCTGTATCCGCCTATGATTTTTGAAAATGCATATTTTTAGGATCCATGTGAATTCCTGGTTCATTCTCTATCGATCGGCAAAAGTTGCGTTAAGATTGGTTCAGAAACCTGGCCGTGATAAACAGTCTAAAATGTATCTGCAATTTGCCCGTTTTTACCCCCCTCTACCCCCCTATTGACATTTTTAATTTTTTTTAGAAATGTAGATCTCGTTGAGCCAAATCGAATGCCGTTTGAATTTTGAAAATCGGCCGGTTAGATCTCGAGATATCAAGGGGGGGTCGTAAACAGCCCCCCCCCCCGCCACTAATATGGGGTAGCCAGGAGCCTGCCACTAATAGGGTTAACCCGTGGCCTGCTGGCGGGGGGGGGGGGGCAAAATTAGCCCCCTCCAGTTTTTCCTGATTGCTTCTAATTAACCCTAATCCGGGCCGGCTCTGAAAGGTTCGAAATCGGGCTAGGGGCCTTTTCGACCGGTTGATATGCGGTCTTTTTTGTTGGGTAGCCACATTCCTTCTACCCTGTGGTTGACTATTCTGGATGCATTTAGGTGACCGTCGTGGCACGTGCCTCTTACCTACCCACATGTTATGGATCCATGTTGCGTTCTTGTTTGAACGTCGACTTTCGGCCTTCGTAGACAACGATTTACTCTGCGATGTTCACGTGGCACATGCAACGTGAACACTGAACATTCAAGGGCGTTCAAGCTGTTTTGCGGAATTAGCGCTTTTAAGAGGCTTTTACCGATCTCCGCAACCGCTTGGGCGATTGACTTGCGGTAGGCACTCACCAGGCAATGCTAGGATAGTTTTGGAAACGGGATGCACCATTCGATGCGTTTTGGGCTTTACAAGTTTCGCGGCGTTACGTGCCTCTTTTTTCCATGCATGCTCGGTATCTACTTTTGAGTTTTTGGTCAGTCAATCCGTCCCCCTCCCCAGTAGCGGCGGAACAACTTCAATTAAAGGGGAGGGGGCACTGCCGACTTTTGGTCCCATTCTTTCCATGCAACCCCCATAGGACTAATGTTAACCCTCGCCGGCACAGGGGGGGGGGGTGATGCAACCCCCTAAGGTTTTTCGCGAATAACTCGCATAAAAAGCGGTCGATCGCAAAGAAACTTTCAGTGCCCTCGCATTGATCAATTTCACACCTACCTTGAAAATTTCATGACCCTGACCCAAATGACCTTTGACCTGTGACCTCTTTTCCGAGACCATGTTTGGCCGGAATCGGCAATCGCGATTCGGCGTATGTCGGCTCGCATTAGCCGCGCGTTTGCAAGCTTTTCGTGGTTTCAAACGCTCAAACATGTGATTTGATATTGTTCCCATACATTAGGGTGGGTGTCAAGGTCATGTGAAGGTCAGGTCAGGTCATTGACCTTTGGTGACCTCGGGTGACCTCGGTTCATTTTTTCGAGTTTTACATGTTTCTAGGCTAGTTTTTGGGGCTGAGTTCGAATTTAGCAACCATTTGAACATTTACGAAGTAGTTTTGGTGCCTTCGTAACATGTTACGAAGCTGTCAGAGGCGGTTGACACGTATTACGAATACCCGTCACAACCCCTACCGGTTGACCTGACCTGACCTGACCCGACCTGGTCTAAATGCTTAAAGACATCATCTCTGATCAAAACTAACACGATATTCGTGATCAGCACCCCGGAAAACCGCATAGCAGCCACACTTTACGACTTTCTAACAGGTCCCGATTTTCCTGGTTTTCGGGTCATTGACCTGACCTGGAAGGTCACTCGATGACCTAGGACCTTAAAATTGGGTATCATCGGCTTCCTCTCGTGACGGGCAGCACGCTCGTTTTTCCGCGAAGCTCTAGCTCGATCAGGGGCCAAACGCGAGGGGGGGGACAGGGGGGTCGTACCAACCCCGTCGAAGGACGCAAAATGGCCTGTGCCGGCGAGGGTTAAAATGCCAAAATCAAAGGGGGGCACGGTGCCCCGGTGCCCTCCCCGTTCCGCTGCCTATGGCCCCCCCATCGAAAACCAGTGGCGCCGCCCCTGCTTCTTTCTGCACAGTCAGAGAGCATTCCGTTATTTCCGTCCATAGCCTCTCTGAAAAAGGGTCCCATTTTTCAGAGTTGGGGGGTGGCAGCCCCCCCCCCCCCCCTGTGGCGCCGTCCCTTACCTTACCTTACCTTACCCTACCTTGAAGGTCATCGGGATAGAAAAGGCATGCTATCGGGATATAAAAGGCATGTCCCTGTGAAAAGGTGTGCCAAAAACCGCAAGGGGGTCGGGGTGTTCAAACACGCGGGTTAAAAAAAAAGCCACAGCGCCGATCGGGAAGGGAAAACAAGAAAACGTCAATATGGTAGCAATGTGAGATTGCAGACCTGGCGCAAGTGCGACGTTTGTGAATTTCACTGAAAGCGAATATTGATATTCGTTTATTCATTGCCGGCCATCCGGGTTCGATTCCCGGGCAATGCACGTGGCATTGCCGCTACCTGACCGCTTGGAACAGCGTGAGAGTTCCGGTTAGCACCTTGGTCCACTGGATGTGGTGCTTAACCCTCGCCCCCGTTTATTCATTGGAGGTGAGAGCTATGGCTAGTTTGAGCATAATTATGAATATTATGATGTTAGAAAATGACCTTATGCTCATGATACAATAAAATGATATTAAAATAAGTTCAAAAAGTATTATAGGAAGAACATAATGTTTTTGGACTTATTTTAATACCATTTCATTGTATCATTAGCATAAGGTCATTTTCTAACATCATAATATTAGTTTCTTCACATTATTGCTATAATTTCAGTTCAAGTTAAGTTTGTTCACTGCTATTTTATGTGGGAGGCATCTGTTACAAATGTTAGAGATGCACTTAAGCCTGAAACAGACTCTTTCTGCAGTCAGGAAATTGCATACGAAAACCTATTCAAATACATGGAAGCACGCTCGCATCAATCGCATGCACCTGCCGCAAGCGATTGTCGCGAGAAGAATTATAATGTATTTGAATAGGCTCTCGCATGCGATTTCCTTTATGCGGAAAGAGTCTGTTTCAGCCTTAACACTACAGTGAACGTTATATTCAACAATCAACACCAAGACTAGAGAAGTATGCAATTGCACAAGTATACCAACATGAACAAGTTTGTTGTTGTGAGCTTGAATATGACTAAGGACTTCTTGTTCTGCAATTTGTGTGGAAACCGATTCCTACCAGAGATTGACAATTGGAACTATGAAGCAATTAACAGGACCAGACCATCAATATATAATGAACTGAAAGGTGTGAAATTCTCCCTTTTCTCCTTAACAATTCTTTGCCATTTGTGGTTAATGGCAAGGTGGGTATTTTGGTATTTGTTCAGAAAAGGTCTGATTGTCCATTGTGGCGCAGTTGCTGCAAATACGCAACAGCCAAAATTGTTGGTTGTAGGTTATGTTTGTATGGCCTTGGCAGGCTCAAGGCTAGTTTGCTGTAGGCTGGTAGGCTGTAGGTAGGGTTAGGTCAGGTTAGATTACCTATGTTTTGTTGCATATTTGACTGTGAAAGGACAATTGCAGCGCACGTGAGATGTAGTTATGGCAGCAAGGGCGATTTCTGCTAAGAGAGTAGTGAGTGCCCTGGAGGCTGGAGTCTGAGTATAACACTATGCAACAAAAAATGAAAAATTTTCTGTTCCTGGAAAGCGACCGAATTTTTCTTATTCATTGGGTCCTATTATAACCGAAATGGGCATTAGTTTTGATCTGAAAATGCTTTTCCGGTTTTCAGAGATGATTTTCGATTTTTGGCCCCGAAATTCGGTTTTTGGCCCACCGTGTCCGATGTAATTGAGTAATCGACTCGCGGTAACTTTCATCGCCTTTCCTATGCCACAAGCTTTCGAATGATATCTGGTTTTGCATATTTGCGTGCAAAAATAACGTCATAAATCTATGTTAAAGTAAGAAAATGTTGAAATTTTGTAAAAATTTGACATTTTTTTCGATTTCATTTCAAAATAGAGGAAAAACTAAAGGCCCCATCCAAATTCTGAGCCCAGTTCCTTGAAGAGCATTCAATTTCCGTTCGGAAGGTACCTTTTTAGTGCATTTTATCGGATTCCTGTGGCGTCCAGATTGAGTTAACCTAAACACATATCCTAAGTCATATCACATAGCATTAACCTGATAACGTATGTTAACGCCATAGGATCAACGAGGGGTCAACTGAGGTCATTTTGTTGACCCCTTGTGACCTCGGGTCACACGCAGGAACTTACTTTTGAGCAGTCCTGTCGCTCAGAATCTTGATCTGTTGGGGGCCCGTTTTTCAAGTGACTCAATCTGGACGCCACAGTAAACCGATAAAATGCACTAAAATAGTACCTTCCGAACGGAAATTGAATGCTCTTCAAGGAACTGGGCTCAGAATTTGGATAGGGCCTTTAGTTTTTTTCTCTATTTTGAAATGAAATCGAAAAAATGTCAAATTTTTACAAAATTTCAAATTTTCTTACTTTAACATAGATTTATGACGTTATTTTTACACGCAAATATGCAAAACCGGATATCATTCGAAAGCTTGTGGCATAGGAAGGACGATGAAAGTTACCACGAGTCGATTACTCAATTACACCGGACACAGTGGGCCAAAAACCGAATTTCGGGGCCAAAAATCGAAAATCGTCTCTGAAAACCGGAAAAGCATTTTCAGTTCAAAACAAATGCCCATTTCGGTTATAATGGGACCCAATGAGTCCAAAAAAATCGGTCGTTACTCAGGAACAAAATGACTGTTGCATAGTGTAATGCGCCCCACTGTGGGGGGCTGTTTTTGGCCCCCCTCCTAACTCCGAAACTACCGGGCCAGTTGTCAAAATTCCAATGGTGTCTGATAGCCCCTGAAAAGCTGTTGAGCAAAACCTAATTTCATTGACCTCATGGTCACCGATGACATCACAGGTCAGGTCAAAGTAAAAGTTATCGATGGCTGGCTTGTTTACATTTTGGGCTCTGGCCGCCGGCTTACAAGTCAGAGCAGGCTCATTTTTAGTTTATACACTCGTGAATAAGATGCTTTAGGCACTCTGATGGTACCTACTACCTACCCAACTTCAAACTTGTACATTGATTTTCAGGTCAGGGTCAGGTCATCACAGGTCACGGAAATCTTATAGCATTGGTCATTGGTCATGGTCAGCTAAAACTGCATCTGTCAGATGCAGTTTGAGCTCAGAAACACAATGGTGCTATTCCTATTGCTGTACGATATCAAATACGTACTGAAAAAAATGGATTTGAAAACTTATAATAGTAGCAAAATTTTTGCCATAATGCATATATAACTTGGCTATTTATGAAGATATCTGGCTACAACTTGCTTGAGTAGATCAAGGGTTTGTTTTCTATCACATATACCTATTCTGCCATCTTCGAAAAGCCAAAAACTTTTTGAAAGAAAGATAAAAATACATATTTTGAAATTTAATGCATATAATTTTCAACATTTCAAAATTTTGAAAATCCGAGATAACAGTTTGATAGCACAATACATTCTGAGTCCTCTCATACAAAGAAATTGGATCTAACTAAAAAAATGAGGTCTTGAGAGCAATTGCCGTAGTTCAATGTTTTGCGTCGAAATCGGCCGAACATGACGTCACTCTGACGTCATTTTCGGCCGATCTATGGTAGCTACGAAGCTCATATTCTGACACAGGATGTCAAAGTGATGCAGCCAAAGGTACTGAAATTTTCGCGTCGATGCGTCTAGCGGTTTAGAAGTTATGCAGAAAGACGGGGGGGGGGGGCTATGCATGAGCTTCCCCCTCCCCCAGTGGGGCGCGAGTTAATGCTGCTGTTCAAAAGCAAAAAAGATTACGTTTGGGCATGGGTGACCTCTGGCCTGATGTAATGACCTCGGACCGGATGTTATCTTTTTTGCCTTTACACGGCAGATTGTTATTACAAACTAATTACCTGCCTGCCTGCATTGCTTCCTATACTGCCTACCGGCACTTAGTACTTTGGAGTGTCATGTTTTTTCAATAATGTTTGACCTTGCTCTTATATTCCAGCTTATCTTACCTCAAGTGAGGATTATAAACACCTCCTTATGGTAATCATTATTTTTGTACAGTAACTGAAGAAGGTTATAATGGGTGTAAATTTCGTTGGCCTTGTGCCTAGTGCTTCTTTTGATAACAAGGTTCCTGAGTGCCCACATGGTAAGTACTAAGTAACAACAAAGGTTGATAATTATTATGCCCCAGAGACAGTAAGTTGTTGAACTGTATTTGTTTTTGTTTTGTTGGGTTTGGCTCTTTTGGTCTGATGAGACCATTTCAGAGCCAGAAGGATGATAGGATCAGGGGAGACATTGGTCTGGGCGCGCACCCTGGTGAGTCGCCGGGACTGAGCCCGTCCAGTTGAGAAGCCACCCAGCACTCACTGCACTTAGCTACGGGGTGCTCTTATGGGATAGTAAGTATGATTTCAGTACTTAAGCGGTACACACTACACGCCATTAACTGGAGAGAAAATGAATTGGAATCGGTCATTGCCTTGCAACAAAATGCATTTACTCCACTTTGTCCATGGCTTATTATGGCGGGGCTGTATCACACGCATACTTGAGGCATTTAGCACATTAACCTGGCCGGGCCCAGTGGGACAATTACAATCACCGCAGCCCGAGGAGGGGCTCTTTTCGCCCCCGCCCCTATCTAACTTCATTAACCCGCGCCCCGTAGGGCTATCGGCGGATCCTACCACCCGAAGGGGGCGACCCGCCCCCCCCCCCTAAGATCTCGGAAATTCGCCGGTCGATTTTCAAAATTCAAACGGTGCTCGATAGCCCCACCAGGGAACTACCTTGTGACCTAATTTCATTGGATCGGTTCAACCGATGACGTCACAGGTCAGGTCAAAGGTCGCATTTTCACCGTTTACAGGTATTTCAAGAAATGTGTTGTGAAATCGAGTAAATTGGTAGGTATGTTCTTGAAAATCATCGATGGAAATTTGTTCGTCAAACACTTTTTGCTATCTGAGGTAACTGATACCAAGTCAGGTTACAGAGGTCAGGTCACTGAGGGTCACAATATGAAAGTGTCGTATGATGCACGTTTTATTGTCCATTTTACATGACAAATGGGATTATGTGGGTCAGGCAACCTTTGGGGCCAGTTTAGGTCATGTTCTGGTGAAGGTCAGGTCAAGATCAGGTTAAATTAGGTCAAATTTTAAAGTTGACATTTTTGCACAAAATGGGTAGGTATCGATTTCATGCAGCTCGTCACGGGTAGTCTAATGGTGGTCTTTGTTTTACGCCACGTTGTCTAGAATTGCTAAAAACTGAGTTGGAAAATTTGACGTCATCATTTTTGAACAGTACCTATTTTCGCCATAACTTGGCCAAAAAAGAGTTATCAATCTGAAATTTGGTATGTGAATAGAAGCCGGTGGCTACCGTCATATAGATGATTTTTTTCGAAAGTCGAAAAAATGGTATTTGTTATTTTGTCCAGAAAATTACTGTTTTGATTTAGGGGGTAAAAATCCAAAAGTTTCAAAAATCCGAGATAGCAGTTTTATAGCACTGTCAATTGTACAACTTTTATGTCAAACTTTTTTTCCTGTATCTTCTAAGCTGTAGGCCTGACAGCTCTTCCGGCGAAACCATTTTTTGGGTCGAAAATGGCAGAGCATGACGTCACTCTGACGTCATTTGTCGCCAACCTACCAAAGCCTCTGGAAAGTTTTTGGTCACAATGTGTAAAATTGATGTCTGGAGTTGTCCTGACATTTTGCACAGTGATGCAAATGGGGTTCACGAGTGGTCATAAATACCAAAAAGTCAAGTTTACCAAACCGAGTTATTCGCTATATGGCTAACCAAAGAAATGTTTGGTGCATCTGAATTCACATAGTTTTCATATTTTTGTCAAAGCCGGCCTCGTGTATGATTGTCAGAAGTCGTGACATTTTCTATGTCGTAAAATGACTGTCAGATACTCGCAACTTCAAACGCCGCTAGCGTGCGTTCATTTCATACAAATGACAAAAATTATACATGGCAATGATCCCTTAACCCGCGACCGCCTGGGGGGGGGGTCGGATCCGACCCCCCCCCCCTCCGTTTTTCTTGAATAACTCATGAACCGCTCACACTATCTACTTGAAACTTGGCATACCTTCTCCCCCATCAATTTGACGTCTCCTGTGCAATTTTTAAGAAAAAAAAACAATTTTTTTTAGATATATCGATTTTAGTGATGTAACTACATGGCGTTTTCAGTCAAAAAATGGTAAATGTTTAAAAAATCGCCAAAAATCGAGGTTTTAAGCAAATTGCAAATTTAGGACATGAATAGACGCAGCTTAACGAGTTCTTTAAAATGGCTATCTCGGATTTTCCATAAAATGCGTTTTTTTACCCTAAAAATTCAAAAAACTATATTTTTTGGAAAACAGCTAATAAAATCCAAAATTTTGGGAATTTCCAAAAAACCGGAATATATGCTATAGAGCTCTATTAGAACATTAGATGTCCCAAATTTCAACTTTCTATCTTGATTTTTTATCCCCAAATTGTAAAAAATAGCTCCAACATGCATAGGGCATGGTGACGTCATAAGCATTTTCGTGAATTAGAGGCACTTCTGAACATCGCATGTGAAAACAAATGGCACCACTAGATTCCTGGGACAAAGCTCGTCTAGAAAAGTGCGTTTTTATGTCAAAAATATAAAGTTGAAAAATTTACCTTTTTTCTGGGCCCTCGTTTAGTTATGCATGGTATAAACGATTTTTATGCTTTTAATGCACAATTATCACCAGCGCAGTGACTTGGGGTCACATATAACCATTACCATCGGATTCGGCGTGAAAAAAATAAGCCATAAAACATGTGTCGCACGCCCATGTAGCAGAAAGTGAAAACCGTGACCTTTCGTGACCTGACCTGACCTTGACCCGTACTTAGTATGACCCCTATACGCACATGGTACATTCACTAGGCCTTTGAGGTCATTTTTGGTGAGTTTCGAGCAGCAGCTATCGATTCCGCTGTCCGTAAGCCTAATCATGCAAAACCCCAGAATTTGACATTTGACCTGACCTTGACCCGAAAGTTGACCTCAATCTTAAAATCTTAAGAGTGCTTTGGGAAGGTCTCGTAGAGACCTTTCGAACGCCGCCTCGCGGGGCTCGATACGACCATTGGTTCTCGAGATAACAGGGGGGGGGGGGGGGTCGGATCCGACCCCCCCCCCCCCCAGGCTGTCGTGGGTACGGAAATAGCCCAGGCGGTGCCGGGTTAAGCCTGCTGCTTCTCATGCCGGGTCACAAAAAGGCGTATCTTTTTTGGTTTGGCGGTGATCTTATCATTTGTCATCATGTTGCAATCGCAGTTTTTTACTATGAAATATTTGCTTTCGTTTCGCCTACAGCAGTTAACACAGTGTGTGGCGTGTGCCCGTTAGTGCACCATACCATATCATTCCCTAACCATTTCTGAGTCACACTGTGAAAGAATTAAGGCGCTAGCACAGGGCAGACCGGTGCTATTGAAGTTTTTGTCCGGCGCGGTCGGGTGTCGCGGTCGGGGCGGATTATTTTCACTGCAGATCGCAATTTCGACAGACGTGTAACTTTGAACTGCTATAAGTAGGTCAAATATTGACCTTAAGTCAAAAGTAATATGCTCACTCGCGAGATCTTGTCAAGAGCAATCCATTGGTTGTTGTCGCGAGGCGATAGGACACTTCGTTTAGGAACAGCAGAGGGATGCACCGACGAACCCCCGCTGAGGCCGCCCGCCCGCGGCGCAGCCGCCCGGGCTGCCCACCGCGCCGCGGCACCCGACCGCAACGGACGAAAACTTTAGTAGCGCCGGTCAGCCCTGTGCTAGCGCCTTCATTTTTTCACAGTGCGGCTCAGAAATGATAAGGGAATTATATGGTATGGTGCACTAACGGGCACACACTGTGTAAACTGCTCTAGGTGAAACGAAAGCAAATATTTTTAAGTAAAAAACTGCGATTGCAACATGATGACAAATAGTTAGATCAACGCCAAACCAAAAGAGATACGGCTTTTTGTGACCCTGCATTAGAAGCAGCAGACCTTGGGGATCATTGCCATGTATAATTTTTGTCATTTGTATGAAATGGACGCACGCTAGCGGCGTTTGAAGTTGCGAGTATCTGACAGTCATTTTACAGCATAGAAAATGTCACGACTTCTGACAATCATACACGAGGCCGGTTATGAGAAAAACATGAAAGTCATGTTTTTCAGACACCCCAAATGTTTGCCTGACTGGCCATATTACGATTTATTCAATTAGGTGAACTTGAAATTTGGGCCTTTTCGGTATTTATGGCCACTCGTGAGCCCCATTTACATCACTGTGGTTTGGTGGCGATATCTGCAGCCGTTTAGGAGATATCAACGGAAAAGGGGGAGAGGGCCGTTTAAGGGGGAGAGGGAGAGGGAAAAGGGGGAGAGGGAGAGGGCCGCCCTAGCGGTGACCTTGACCTCCGCCGTCTGGTGCAGCTCCAAAGCCAAGCCGACGCAGCCGGCGTGGAATTGGGAAGGCTCGTGCTACCCCAACTCGGCACAATTGTCCACCCCTGTTTGTGACCAGTTACGCATACCATGTAACTTGTAAGACCCATCATATGGCGAGGTTTTCCAGTCATCCAAGGTCATTCAAGGTCACATGAGGTCAACATAAACCTGACCGTTTCCGAACAAAATGTATGTCATTCGACTCGTCTTGACACGAAGAATGCGTCGGGATCACTGTCTTCGTTCTAGGATCCTTTGTGTTGAAGTTATCTGCAAAAACTAAAACCCCAGCTCGGGTTTGTTGTTGACTTCGGGTCACCAAAATTACTTTTTCTAGCTCATAGATATGGTTCACAACCATGCTCGTAGTTTTTATCTATCTCTAAAACTATTATAAGCAGCGTTTGTGACTTTACTTCTGTGATGTCAAAGTTTGCCGTGCAGGGGTTTAGAAAAATTGACCCGGTGACGTCATCGAGAGGCTTAGTTCCAATGTTTTACTCCAGATGATGTAAAATTGATGGGGAAAAGGTACTGAAGGTTTCGTGCTCCTATCTTTAAGCGTTCGTGAGCTATCGCAAATATTCGTCAGGGGGGGGGGGCAAAAAGCGTCCCCTCCCCCGGGCCCGCGAGGGCTCCATCATTGATGGAGTAAACCAGAAGCACGAGGGAGCGAACCGCGCGCTCAGTCGTCCAGCTGCCTCTCACGGGCTCCACCCGTCTCCCCCAGCAGCCGGTAGCTGACCCGCCCCGGGTCACACGGCAGGGGCGCGCCGAGCGCGCACACCAGGGAGGCGCCATGGGCGGCACCAGGCACGCCACAACAGGTGGTCTCAGCTCAGCCCTCCGTAACAATAAGCTGGTAACCAAAATGCCTGCACTATCGGCAGTTGTGGATGAAAGGAAGATAGGCGGCAGGTGCCAGTACCAGTACTCTCCCGATAGTGAGGACACTGGCTCGAGTCGTTCCGGCGCCTGGCATTGAATTTTATTCGGTTGAGTAATAACTAATATGACCCGTGTTCGGCTTTGATCGACATGCCAAGTTTGGCCTCGAAAGTCTCGTGATTCAACTCAAGATGGGCTGGTCGGACGGTAAGGGTGCCTAACAAGCTCTGCTTAGCCGTGGCTCCGCTCAGCGTGGCCTCATCCTCTCCATTCAAATAGCTCAATTTATATTCGAAAATGCGCTGGTGGCTCAGAATGTTGCCTTTGCAAGGCAGAGCCAATGTTTGTCTTTCAGACTCCATGTTGTCACTATGGATTAGGGCGATGAGCCGTACCTATAGTGGGTCCCGCCGGCGCCGTTACGTTTTACCTGGGGCCGGAGCCGCTACTGCCCGGAGCCGGAGCCGCTGGAACAGTTCCGGAGCCGGTGCCGGGGCCGGAGCATTCAGCCGGAGCAGGGCTGTCGGAAATTTATCACGATTTAACCGCACTCCTGCACAATAGAGTTTACTATTTTCATGTCCCCAGGCTTTAAATTTTAATAGACCCTGACCCCGAGCGTACTGAAATATTGACCATTGAAGTTTTGAGCTGGGAGGCAGAAACATGTTATATAACCATCATAGATCCTACGCTGTGATCACTGCAGGTAATCCCATGCGCAAATCCCCCTCACATATCACCGGAAATTTTCATCATCTTCGTCCGAGCTCATGTCTTTCCTCCACTCAACTAATGCGTAGGGGAGAGTGGGGCAAAGCGGCCACCCTAACGTTTCTAACGATGCCGACGCTTGATTTTTAAACTTGGAAAGATTCTTTCTATACCAATGTGATCCCTATTAAATTGTCTTTTATTCCAACTGCGTTTCATTTCCAAAGGCGTTCACATATGGGAGATATTGACAAAACTTTAAACCTATAGCATATTGGCCACTTTGCCCCATCCCTGAGGCAAAGCGGCCACTGGCGACTTCTCAAGTCCCGATATGAGAAACAGAATAGTTGCCTCATGCACGACTAGGGTATTTGATGGTGACAATGTTTAAGGGAAGATGGATGTTTACTTTGTTATCTTCCCACCTATTGCTAAACAAAGAAAGAATTTTCTTGGAAAAACATTTAATTGCATAATTTGGTAACTCATGTAACCGAAAAGTGGCCAAGATGAATGCATGACGACACATTTGAATATAAATAATGTTTTTATCCAGATGGAAACAACTTATGACCAATTGGGGGCTGGCCACTTTGCCCCGGCCACTTTGCCCCGCGCATACCGTCCGAGACAAAAATATTCCAGCTCAGCTATTAGTGGGGTAAAAAGCATTAAAATTGGTAGAAGGCATGTACGATAACCACGCAATGCATGGACAAAAACGCTTATAAAAATTCCAAACGGTTATGGAATAAAATAACATTTAAAAATTGTAAACATAATTGGTAACCTGGCAAGAAATGCTTTTCCGTGTTTCACAGAACAATGGCGATGGGCCTGAAACCCCGGTCTGGCTCATTCGAACGACCGCAAAGAGAAGTATAATTGGAAATCATAAATTGGAACTGACGCCAGCTGTGGAGGGCTAAAACGATGGATGGCCGCTTTGCCCCGGGTGGCCGCTTTGCCCCACTCTCCCCTACCTGTCTGGATTGACGTTCACAGTTCTCGCCGATTGCGCCTGCATCAGGTTATTAATTTTGCAGCGCGACTCATGAGTGGTCTTCGAAGAAATAAACACGTCTTCTGCCCCCTGGTGCACTCGGCTGACCTGACATTGGTGATAATATCACACATCGAGAATCAGCCGACGTGCACCGCGGCGTACTGAGAGGGCCCCGTCTGCCCCGGGCTCATTGCCGGTGACGTGCTCCCCCAGAAATGCAGCGTCAGATCTAGTGATTACATTTTTTTTTTTGATGGACGGAAACCAAACAAAATACCAATTAAAACAAAGGAAAAGGAAGAATGTTTTTTTTGGGGGGGGGGTGACAAAATTCCCGAGTGAAAGCTTGAGAAATTGACGGAAAAATACCTTTTACCGATTCCCAAACATTGAACATTAGTTGGGATTAATAGAATAAATCAGTGGAAATGGCAATACCGATTCGGTAACGGCGTGGTAACGGTTTACCGTAAATCGGGTCTCCGATTGACATTGCCAATCAGAGCGGTTGACGCGGGCGCGGCCTTGTTTGAACAGGTATTGAATAGCCCGGATTCCGATGGGATGTCGGGCGCCGACCATCCCCGTACAGGCCCATGTACAGTGCAGCCCTGATGTGGAACTAACTGCAATGGCGCCGATCCCCCCCCTCCGCACCAGTGCAGCCCTTATGTGGAACTTTCTGTAATTGCTCGCCGAACATCCCCTGCAGTGCAACCCGTATGTAGAACTTTCTGTAGCAGCATGCTGGACATTATAAGCTAGTTACTCGTATCAAAGGCGGCGGAACGGGGGGGGGGCAACGGGGCACCTGCCCTCCTTTGATTTTGGCATTTTAACATTAGCCCTATGGGCGTTGCATGGAAAGAATGGGACCAAAAGTCGGCAGTGCCCCGCCCCCCCCCCCCTCCCATTAATTGAAGGTGTTCCGCCGCTACTGACTCGTATGTATACTGCATGATAAATATAGCCACTCGCATTCTATAATTTGGCACTCCGTGGATCAGGGAAGCGTGTCAGAAGTGTTCAGTTCATTGCTGGAGCCGTTTCGGCAACGTTGTGGAAAAGCAGTTTACAATCAATCAAATTAAATGGCTGTTTACTAGCCTAACCTCAACATGTTTCGGTAGTTGTGAAGCTGGCCTCCTTTGAAGTTCTGGTTTTGCACTGTCATCTGAAAAAAGCTCTGTTTTGTCCCTGCCCAGGACCGATGCTGCTTTTCGAGAAGGCGGACGACTGTGGCTCGAAGGCGGGCCGCCAGTTTTACGCGTGCGCCGCGTGCCGCGACCGCAAGCAGTGCGCCTTCTTCCTGTGGCGGGACGAGCGTCTGCCAGCGGAGAAGGTGCGCCAGTGGCGTCAGCGAGCCGCAGGGGAGTCGCGCGCCGCCAGCCACCGGCAGCGATACGACAGGTGCGCACCGCCCCCGGCCGGCCGCCAGCGCGCTGCCGCCGAGACACGCGTCTTATCCGCCATACGGAGGACTTGATTTGATACGGTGTTTGCAGTTTCGGGGTATTTTATTATCAGTGCTGATCATTGATCACGAATGGATACCTTAACCTATAAGTTCTATGGAGTCCACATATCAAGCTGGTCTGTAGGCATTGCTATGTATCCGGTATGGTACGATGTGATACTGTTATTCTAGATTAAATTTCTCAGGAAAACCAAGTTAGCGCGCATCCTGCCAGTATAACCTTTATTCAACAAAATCCGCCCTTTTGCCGTTTCAATTCGGAACCGCGATATAATTATATCAGATACAGGAACAAAGTAAGCGCTCACTGTAAGCGGATTTGTGGCTGATGCTCCATGCTAAATCCGTTTATTATGCGTATTTGCTTGCTCATATGTCCATGTTAAATGTCCTACTCATTTCTGACATGTAAGGAGATACCCTCCTTTCAGGCCACAGGCTCATTACATATCACTGTGGTTTCCAGTGTGCATCTATTTTCTGCGGTGTAATATTTGCACAGCGGAATCATGCGAGTCGCACCTCTTCTCAGTACGGCGCTAATACAATACCACCTATATTTGCCAGCTCCCACATGCATCCTTGCTAGGGGCCTTATTATTGTTAAATACAAAAATACCCTACCCTTGTGTGGCTGGTGAGAGCGCTGCACGCGAGGGCGGTATGCCGCGCTGGGCAGCTCGGACTGACGACCTCTGGCGCGCGGCAGGGCGCGGACCATCCTGAGCGGGGGCGGCGCACAGTACTGCCTGACCTGTACCGCCCTGGTGCCGGCCTCGGCGGCGGCGGAGCACAGGAGCCACCCGACTCGGCCAGCCGACACGGAGAGCGCCCGGCGTCCGACGCAGGTACGGCGCCGTATGAACAAACCCTCAGATCCCGGCAGCAGCTCCGGCCGGGCAGTTATATCTGTCGGACAGTCGCTGCGCCTTACTTAGCCAGGCTGACACAGCAGCTGTTCTTGATCTTTCTCGCCTGTCGTTTGTTTCCGGATTCGTATCCATAATGACTTATAGAGTAGTCTATGGTTGGATCTGTGCCTTCGGTGCAATATCCTGAACAGGGCCGTCCCATTGTCTTGGAAACTGTGCGTCTTTGTGTATTTTCCGATAGAGAATGCTCGTAGTTTGGCCAATTTCACGCCAATTATTCTACTCGAATGCTATCCTTTGCATAACAGTCCTTGTTTTATCCATCCATTTATTCCGGTTCAGTTCAAGTCCGAGAAATGTCCCGACGATTGTATGCGAAAGCTGCACGGATCGCTCACTGCCACTGGCTAATTATGTACTTCTATGCCTACCGTGGTGATGAATCGAGATTCACTCACGCTTCCTCCCATTGCCACTATCTGCTGCCGCCCCCCCCCCCTAGTCTATCCCCTCCCTGTGGTTATCTACAATCACTGACCACCACTGCCATCCTGTCTTCGGCAGCTGCTGCGTCCCCGCGCCTGTAACAAGTCGTCGGCGCAGTACCTGTTCTCACCGGACACTGTGACCGTCCTGGACGGGGTGCTGGGTGCGGCCGGGGTGCGCCGGGTGCTGTGCTGTGGCACCCCGCGGCTGCACGAGCACCTGCTCAGCGCCGGCCAGCGCGACAGCCTGCTACTCGACCTGGATGAGAGATTCGTGAGTCCCGGAGAGTGGAGGGAGGTTTGATAGTGGGAAAAAGGAAGAGTAGGAGATGAAAAAGAAGCGACTGATTCACGCCATGACGATTTTTATAGTCATGCGGTGGCCTTTATCTTGAGTCGTTTTTGTTCATTTTTATGTTCATCCTTTGGTATGTTCATTTGTTGGCTGGTGTGAACAGGTCGTCCTTATTCCAACCAAAACGACTGAACAATGAAAACAATTAAAAATAATGCTAAACACCACTGCCATATCTCCAAAACGTGCTGTGGGGACGGTACTTTCAGCTTATTCAGCCTCACTGCGCAGGTGAGGTACCGGATCCGCTAACCGGGGAGCAAAGCGGGGGCGTGATGCTGCACCTGTTCGACTAACTTCTGGCCCACCGCATTCAACGGGCTGGAACGAAATGCTTGAAAGTGGAGGTTAATTATCTTATTGTATATGTAGTACCGGGGGTTTCGTGTTTATGTTTTCAAAGCTGCGCTTGATAAAGATAAAGATCCGCCAAACTTCGAAAACAGCAGATGCTGCCTGTTCTCTAAACTTGAAGAGTTCGTACATCTAGCGCCCAGGGCCTCCTCAGCAGGTACATCTATTCACCTTCGCAAACATTAGCTTTTGCAAACTTGCTCTTGTTTTCGTTGCTTATTTTTGCAGCATTTTATTACATTCCTTAAGTTTTCACCGTCTCCGGAAAATCGTGACCCTTGATGCTCGGCACAGGTTCAGTATACCTCTTGACAGGTGTGTCACATTTCGCTACGGCGATGCTGATTTATTGGGCTTTGACTTTTGGTCACAAGATGCCTTACATTGCATTCGCGACGATGGCATACATAATGCACAATTTCCATAAATATTTTGTGTTTGTAAAACTCTCGCCGACAGTATATACATGTTTGCCGGAGATTGAGACGGGGTTGGTTTCCGGCCGTGGTCGGTCCCGCGGGTGTCGGCCTGCAGCGTTGATTCGGCACTGACTCCCACCCGTGCTGTGTGCAGTGGCGATTCGGCACTGATTTCCACCCCTGATGTGTGTTGGTTGACGCGAGTGTTGCGGAAATTAATCCCTTACAGTTGCGTGCTCTCTCTAATCAGTGGGAACACTCTCTGCCAGTGAGTGAATGCCAACCGTCTTTGGTGCTGTGGAATTGGGAAGGGTTTGATAAGGCGTGGCTGTACCGCCCACCGCGACCGGAAATTAGATACATGATATCAGCCTGGCTTTGGTGCATGCAGTACGTCAACTAACCGACCAGGTGAATGAGAGATGAGCTGTGCGTAGAACGCAGCATAATCGGCAACATTAGCACCTCTGGTTGAGAACTATGGAATGACATACTTAGAATGAAAATGTACATGGCTTATCGAGTTATCTGTGTTTTATGCCTATTGTCCAGTCGTCAAACGTATTTGCTTAAATTGGCTTCTCGTTGTTGGTCAAATCAGTTTGTGTTTAGTCTAGCACGGGAAGCTTGACCACTTTTTCTTTGTAACATTTCGTTTCACCTGCCTATCACTCTCGATCCCCATTCCCCTTTGTGTATTTACCAACGTTTTGGCGGTTTTCAACGGTACATAGATATCAATTTACATCGCTTTGCAGGCACAAGCTCGCACTTTGGCACAACGTGCGCCTAACAACTTAACAGCGAATGAAACGATCATCTTGAACGGACGGATGAACGATGTCATAGGCTTCTGTATTACTGATATGGAGTAGTCTATGACGATGTCAGCCCACCGATTTTGCCATATGCACACTTCCTTTTCCGGTGCACCAGCGCCGAATGGCTCGCCTGATTTATGCTGACGTCACTTGGTCCGGTCGGCCACCAATTTTATGGTAGCCTCGGCTTGGCACAATGGCGAATTCCGTCGTCATTTTTCTTTACGTTCAGCGACAGGGTCGGTTAGCTTCTGCTTTAGGGCTTTCTCATAACCTGTCGGAGATTTATTGCCCGGTGCGGCTGGGTACTGTGTCGTTTAGCGTCGCCGGCTGCCCGCCGCTCTGGTATGTACCATGCCGTGCGCTCACAAACGCATGATTGTCTGATCGTGCGGTGTTTGTAAACACACAGACGGTTCAGGAACTGCCACAGCGGCTGCTGGGAAACACGTCTCAACAGGTGACTTGAACCAACAGCGGACTGTCCAAATACAGATTCAATTTCAAGTCGTCACCGAAATTTGAAACACGTCCCATTGCGGCCGGTTATCGTTCAAGATGTTCCACACAAATGTTTCACGAAGGGTTTTCATAACGTGTGGGTAGCTTTGAAATTGTAGCTTTCGATACGTACCAGGTCAAGCCAGGTCATACCAACCTCCCAGCCAACTTCTAGTACTTACAGCCTTTTCTGGGGTATCTACAGGTAAACTACATCAGTACGTTAAAGGGAGCCTCCCACCTTCAAAAAAGTTAATGAATTGGCGTAACAGGGATGTCGCACGGTTTAGAAAGAGCAAAAAACGAATATCTTTCAAATTTCACCGAAAAATATCGACCGATTTTCAACGTATTAGGGGAGAGTGGGGTAATTTGGCCGGTGGTGTAAATTGGCCGCCCCCACCTGTACGAAAGCTGATAAAAGTGAATGAAATAACTTTAGTCTCTATTCATTTGTCATCGGCAGAACTAACTCGAGAACAAATGTCAACTTTCCCCCTCTTAGTTTTATTCAAAATTAATGAAAGGTGAATAACGTTAGAAAATGGTAACTTTTACTTCCGTTTAAAAATTTGTATAACATGAAGTACATATTTGGGCTGTAAACGAATTCCAACATCATAGCGCCATTTTTGAGGGTGTTCAGCGGTTCCAAGAGCAATTTCATCTAGTTCTGTACAGCCATGACGACTTTATAGACAAAAAATTTCAGAATGGCAATGTGGGCCGATTATTTGGCCGGGACTAGCGGGGCAACTTGGCCGGTGCGCTCAGAGTCACTATGCTGGGACGGCCGAGTTGTCATGGTCAATTATACCATAAAGGACATAATTCATGACCAGCTTTGACTATACCTTGATGCCATATTTCCTATTGGACAGCTGTAAGGGCTTGTGACGTCATCAAAGGTTACCTAACGCTTTTTTGCTAATAAATACTTACAGAAAAAAGATACAGCCGCGCAAATGGTCTCATTGTGTTCAGCTCGTCAAGGCGCATCGAATGATATACATGATGACCTTGAACTCACGTAACCTTGAGGTCAAGCAACCTGAGGTAACGTGACCTGAAGCCAACCTTTGACCTTGACCTCTCGAGGTCAACACATACATGTTTCGACGCGGAATGACGAGAGAATTACGATGGTTTTTTTAGTTTTGGCCTAGCTTGATTACTTCAAAAGTTATTCGTAAAAAACTGTCATCGCATCATAGAGCCGCTATTTTGACTATTTTCGACCCCTGTGACGGCTGAGTCAACCTTCAAAATGCTTCAAATGCGTCGTAGGACACGCGTCATTGCTGAATGTGAAGCTGACTCGCCTATAACAAAAATCATGACCTCAAAGTTCAAACTAACACCGGCCAAATTGCCCCACACCCCCGGCCAAATAACCCTGCTAGTGGGGCAATTTGGCCGCTTTGCAGACCTTTGTAATACGCCACAATTTCAATATAAGTAGTTACTCAATCATTTCAAGTTCACTGTCCAAGAAAGTAAAATGTGTGCCACACCTGTCAGCGTTGAGAAAAAGCAGAAATATGTTGTCGATTTTAAGTTACATCCTTTTCTAAAAAAGCGGCCAAATTACCCCACTCTCCCCTACACTTTAACTTTTGTTTACTTTTTGGGACCTGAGCTGTTCCTACGACGTCATTTGGAAGCAACAATTTGGTGTCTTAAAAGTGCGGCACTTGCGGCAGATGTTGCACGCAAGTAGCATATACCACCACTGCTTCACAAAGACGTTAGTATAATGTTTAAAATCGCTAGATCTGCGCTGACGTCACAAATTAAGAGGGGGCGTTCAAATGCCTTAGCCCCTCTGAATCCAAAGTGCTGCAATTTTGAAATTAAATATCTCTGAATTAAAGCCTTTCTCGATGTTGTGAGTGCCCAAACTGGCAAGTGCGAACCAGGGACCCCAATTTGACCATCTCAACTCAAAACTAATGTTACGGGTGTTAACCCTCGCCGGCACAGCCCATTTTGCGTCCTTCGACGGCACAAGGGGGGGGAGGGTTGGTACGACTCCCCTTTGCGTTTGGCCCCTGATCGAGCTAGAGCTTCGCGGAAAAAACGAGCGTGTTGCCCATCACGAAAGGAAGCCGATGATATCCAATTTTAAGGTCCTAGGTGACTAGGTCATCGGGTGACCTTCCAGGTCAGGTCAATGACCCGAAAATCGGGAAAATCGGGACCTTTAGGAAAGTCGTAAAGTGTGGCTGCTATTGGGTTTTCCGGGGCGCTGATCACGAATATCGTGTTAGTTTTGATCAGAGATGATGTCTGTAATGGGGAGGTCGCAAAATTGACCTGACCCTAGGTCACCGATATCAAAATTCTGAGATATACGTTCTTTTTAGATACTGTTACCCTTATCAATCTCTGAAAGTTTCAAAGCGATCGGTCACTCGGTGTAGCTATGACAGACATTGAAACTTTTTATGAGGTGAGGTCACTTCAAGAGACCTGGTGACCTGACCTTGAATGACCTTGGTCTGAAATTTTCACAACATGTGTAGAATTGATGTATGATAAGGTGTATCAAAAACGGCGGCGCGTTTTTGAGATATTCGCGAAAAACCACAAGGGGGGTGTTCAAACACCCCCCCCCCCCCAGCAGGGCGCGGGTTAAGGTGGGATGGTCAGTTTACCCTCGCGCAGGGCATTTTTCATAACACAGCCTGGCGGGGGGGGGGTCGATGCGACCCCCCCCCCCCGCTTGCGTTTGGCTCCTATGGCACCTAGAAACACCAAATTTGGTAGGTAGGTGGGTCCCCTGGAGTTCTCGCCCCTGTGCAAATTTGGTTGCTCTTGGTCAATATTTAGGTGGGTTTTGGGGGGTATAAATGTAAAAATTTTGCTTAAAACCGGTCAAATGTTTTTCGCTAATAACTTTTGATCTAATTAAGATAGAGCAAAAAGAAAAGCACCACTGCACTCAGCACGTCAAAGCGCGTCAAATGATATACTTTTTTGCTTGCTTAAGTGTACTTAGTGTTTTTCTTAATTATTAAGTAAACTTTAATTAACTAATTAAGTTCAAGCTTACCAAATTGCATCATGTCGCATATCATTCGATTCGGCTGATCACCAGGAACACAACGACACAATTTTTTAAGCTCTAGCGTCATTATGTGCCAAGTTATTGGCAAAAACGTCATTTGACCTCAGTTGACCTCATTTGACCTGACCCATGGATAACTACACCAAAAAAGAAGCACCAAGTGACCTGCTGTTAAGTACTGTAGTTTCAAAGCACAAAAGTGGTAGAACGAAGCTGATATCTCCAGTATTTTCCGAATTTAGTATTTTCCCATAGGCTTAACATTACGACGTAATGACCTCTAACTGACCTCAGGTCAGTGGCATCAAAAACCCGAACTATATGTTATACAACTCGGTGAACTTAGCACATCCTGAAAGTTTGAAGGAAATCAGTCCAAAACTGTGAGTTGGACAGGTGCAAAAAGAAAATTGAAATTTGACCATGACCTTGTACTGGGTTTTCGGACCTGGTGACCTGACCCAAGGTCACTTGGACCTGAAATTTTCAGGTCATATGTAAAAAGGCTGCCCCATAGGCTGTGCCAAATTTGGCGGTGCTGCGCGCCGCCGTTTTTACGCTATTTTCGAAAAACCTTGGGGGGTCGCATCGATCCCCCCCCCGCCAGGGCGAGGGTTAATTCATATGCGCTGGTTATAGTTTTTATCCGATCATATTCCACAGAACACATACATCCTTATACATTTACATATATTGACTGCCTCGAGGCGAATGGCTCACAGCTTTCATTCATTGATTCATGTGACAGTGCTTTATCTCTAACTTTTCTGTATTCGGCACGAAGTTGTGCCTGAATCGTCTGTTCCCGACCGGAAGTGAATGGGAAATATTCAATCATAAGTATTTGACATCGGATCTATTCAAGACACTCGTGCTCGCATGCCAGCCTTGCAATGCCACTTAGGTGTGACTGTCCTAGTCTGTTAAAAGTAAGCTGAATGTCTCGCGGTGTCCAACAGCGCTCCGGCTGCCTCATTGGCATTCCGGGGTCACGCCTGGCCGGAGGTCGGGAGACAATTGGGTTAGCCTACTGAGTAGCGCCGCGCTCACTGCGTTACACTGGCTAATGAGCATCGATCGCCGCTCATTGCCGTCATTGCAACTCGGGTCTCAATCACGTACTGCATAGTGCGCCACTGCGCATTCCGTAAGCCGAAAATCGACTTAGCAGGCTCATGATCATTCCATGAAATGTTTCTTCTGTATGTCTTCCGGCGCCAGAAATGGCTGACGATCTTTTCCGAGAAGTTGTGAAGCGATGTTCGATGTTAAGTTCTACGAGTTGGGTAAATTAGTTCAAAATGGTGAGCATGTGGGGGCTGTAATTGTTCGCTTGAAACTCCCTTGGCGCGGCCCCACGCGGGCGAGTGTGGACACTCGGTATTCTGGGAGTAAAGACACCATATTCAGAGTGGGGGCATTCCCGGAAGTGTGAACACACGGTATTCGGCAGGCGAACACGATACTGAGGGAACGCCAACACCGTTTATTGTGACTGGAGGCCCCGTTCGACCGCTGGCACTAGCAGACAACTAACACTTATTGATCTCTCCGCTGGTGAGACGGCCTGTGCTGACGCACTTGATGCTCGTCTCGCCGGCGACACGTCTTATTGTTGTCTCGTGAGTACGCGCGCCGTCAGGCTATACGGTGAGACGCGTCGTTGTACTGTACGGGGAGACGCGTCGTTGGACTGTACGGGGGAAGCGCCGGCGGACTGTACGGGGAGACGCGCCGGCTGAGGTCGAGCTGCTCGCGCGCCGGAGACCTTCGTCGAGCCTCGCCAGCGGCCGGAGAGCATGATACAAAGTTGGCAAAGTTCGTTAGCAGTCTAGTTGTTTATGTGGCAACGGACTAGTTAGAATTCAGTTTACTTTTCCACAGAGCAGCTAATGAATGTGTATTGTGTATGTAGGTAAATGCTGGTATGGAGGCCTGTCAAATGTGATTAAAGGGACTATCCCACCTTTAACATGGGGTTTGAGTTGAGATAGCAAAGTTTGCGGCGAGGTTCAGAAACCACTATCTATCTAGGTTGCAACCCCCGCGGCCTCTTGGTGTTGAAGAAATTCGTCCCCTTCATTTGAAAATGGGCCTTGTGCAAGGCCCTATCTTCAACATGGAGCGACCGTTAGTGTGACGTCACCTCGTTTAGTCATTCTGATTTAAATGGGTTTGTTCGTTGAAAAATCGCTTAAAACTTGGTCTGAACTTTGTTGTGGTGCCTACAGAGTAAAAAGAATCAGCTTTATGACAGTAATGTGGCCTGGGGAAGGAGGTACTTTTCGGCTGTGACGTCACATATTTGAAAGTTTGTGTTTGGAATATGGGAAGCCTAAGATGTTTAATGAAAAATAAATGCCAGAACCGTGTTCTTGGTCATCCAATCTATAAAGTCGGGCACAATTTAACTGGTTTTAACAACATTTTAGAAGGTGGGATAGTCCCTTTAAATGCTAGATTTAAATGTCATGTTTCATAATTTTATGCTCATACACCTTTCGAACTCTATGCCTTTGTCGATTTGTTGTAAGCTTTACCGATCCCAACTGAGTTCTATTCGTTTTATCTGTGAATTATTCTTCCACTGAATATCCAGGCGTGTACCGGACTGCATCTAGTGAATACATTATCGCTCCTCTCTCTCTCTCTCTCTCTCTCTCTCTCTCTCTCTCTCTCTCTCTCTCTCTCTCTCTCTCTCTCTCTCTCTCTCTCTCTCTCTCTCTCTCTCTCTCTCTCTCTCTCTCTCTCTCTCTCTCTCTCTCTATCTCCCTTTCCATCTGTCTCTGACTATGTCTCCCTTGTTCTCTTCCTTCTTCTTTCAACATTGGAAAACATAGCAACCTAATGAGTTCAGTGTCAAGTCCTTCTCCTGGCCCTTGTGCGACACGTGGTAGCTCTCAATTGAAATGGGCGCCTGTGAATCTGTTGTGGACACTGTTTGGGCAATTTGTATCGTTCGTGTGGTTTCCGGTAAGTGTTGTCACTGCAGAGAATGATCGAAGTTGCCCTTTTACAGCAGGGCCTGCCCGTGGGGATATATAATCGTTCTCGGCGATGGAGCTGCCCCTCCTTCTCTTTGCGCCCGCTGACGGGGACGCCCCTTTCCGTGTCGCCAGGAGGAGTTTTGGCCGCCGGAGACGTTCTCCGTGTACAACATGTTCAACCACCACCTGATCAGCGAGGAGGGTCACCGCGCCTACCGCGAGTTCGTCCAGCGGGACGGCGGACGGGGTAACCGACTCTGGGCGGGGTGGGGCACCGCGGGGCTTCGACGCGTTGTGGTCATCACTGCCCTTACTTCATCGATTTAAGAGTTATTGACGATTGGATATTGTAGCTTCCAGCTTGAATCCGCAGCGAAATATTTGAATATGCTACAAAATGCTCAATTGTTCAATGGCTCAGGCTTCACAGTACATATTGTTTGAAACGATTTAGGTATCATCTTTGTGTGGGTTTGCAGGTACGTACACTGCTAAGTTTTCTTCTCACTTTTGCTGGATACGACTTTGATTAGTCTATGCGTGTCGTGAGTTTTCCGTCGCCTGCCGTGTCTATGGACCCTTTATGTGTATTTGACATCTACTATGTTTTTGCATATTAGGTATCTACCTTATTTGTGGACCCTGTGCGCCTTTCGACAGGTTTGGTCGTGTTTGATAAACCTCCATGTCTGTCTGTCACTGTTTGTGGACTTTGTCCGACAGGTCTGGCAGTGTTCGTGGACCCCCCCCCCCCCCCCGTATGTCTGTCTGTCACTGTTTGTGGACTGTCCGGCAGGTCTGGCAGTGTTCGTGGACCTCCGTATGTATCTGTATTGTCACTGTATGTGGACTGTCCGACAGGTCTGGCAGTGTTCGTGGACCCCCCGTTCGGGGCTCGGCTGGAAGCCCTGGCTCTCACTCTACGCACCATCGCTGACGAGTGTGGCTCTCAACCGGCAGGTGAGGCATCTAGTCTCGGGTAGGAACAGCTACAGCTTGTGATTCATTCGACTACCCAGGCCGTTATGCTTCTTTGTATAGCACAGAGCTGTTTATTCAGTTCCTCATTGACGGGGGCACGCCGTGGGCTGTTGTTTTCTGTGCGTGTCTTAGACGCAGATTGAGTGCCGACGGCGCGGTGCCTTTCATTTGTGGAATAACTGGCTAGGGTCAGGTATTTGTGTAGTATTCTGACAACTCTGTGGGTACCCGTCAGGTAGCTCAGAGCCTCAGGTTTCCAGTGGTTAGGGCCCCGGTTCTAGTCGTGCCAGTGGTTGACATATGAAACTCGTGGCAGAATGGCCTGTTGTTATTTGGAGCAAATGTAATCAGTCAGACCATGGTTGCAGGACACCTTCTTGAGGAGAGGACACTTATCTCTTGCATGATGCACATCGTGTGCTAGTTTGATTTTGATTTTGTTTAGCTGCTCGGACTTAGCTGACCAAGTACATAGAGTCAGGCATTGACCTACAAGCTTTCTAATGCGTTTTCTTTCAGCGTTAATCCGTCCATCCAGAATATTGGAAGCTTTTTTAAGATCTCGTCATCCTTGTATTGCTACTAGCTTGTATCGTGGTGGTATCGTGATCCTTCTATTGAAACCTGCAAGTGGCTGGGAACCGTATTGCATCCGTCCTTCCCGTTTCTGCATTCTCTGGGAGTAATGACTCATAAAACATGTGCTGCAGTCTGCACTCTGCACGTTTGCGTTTTTGGGATCAGTGCTATTCGGTGGGGTGGCATGACCTAACTCCGATCCCCCTGTGTATGGCACTTATCTCTGTTAAACGTGACACGTCACCTCCCCATTTTTATGCTGGACTCGAGTGCCTATGGTTTTCAAGCAAGCATTTCTTTGAACTGACCGTATAGTAAGCTGCGAGAGGGATGAACACTGGCCTTGCCAGAAAATGTTTGCATTACGGAAGCTTTTTCTAGCCTTTTTCCCGTCGCACTGTGGCCATTACTTAGGAAGCTTGGGAGTACCCCCTTCCTGGCAGTTGGCACTGAGGGGTGATCGAATATCCCAGATAGTGAAGGGGCTATTGAGGCGAGTTACAGGATATCCCAGTCAGTAAAAGATAGATATTCCAGTCAATGAAGGCGGATGCTTCAGTCAATGTCAGCATTAGGTGGGCATATACATAGCATGTCCTGTTGGTAGGCTGCTCTGCCATTCCGGCACTGTCATGGACTAGAAACGCGATATTTGCGTGGTAAAAGAGGAGCATAAATAATGATCAATGTTGAAGTGGCATTAACATAAGAACGAGTCGTAGACTGTTACATAACAAAATTATTTTCGCTGGAAAAATCTACAAACTCATTTATAACCTAGAGCTTCGCTGAAAAAATCGACAAGCTCATTGACAACCACAAGTGCATGACTCAGGGTTATTTCCCGACGGTGTGCTTCGTTTTGGAAGTGCACCTCTTTCTTCAACCTACGGTCAATCACCGCCGTTTAGATGGTTGAAGAATGTGTCCATTTATTTTTTAGTTGCCTTTGCTGTCCTGATATTAGGGGAGAGTGGGGAAAGATGCCCAGGGTTTGACTATGTCATATATTATTCGAAAATGACGATCGGAAAGCCAAAACTTGGAGTTTCAACGGAAGCCGACATCATTTTTCTCCAAAAATATCACACTTTCGTGCCTGAAATATGATAACTTTTTTTGCTATTAAGCATTTTCCTGAAGAAGTGAAAGGGGGCATCTTACCCCACAGGGTGGAAAAGACGCCCCCTGGCGTTGGGTAAGATGCCCCCTGCACTATAAGTGACATAAATAGGCACGTGAATCGCCTGAACGAATCAGTAGTCCCTTCGAGCCTGCAGTAGACACCAAACGTCATCATAAGGGCCCTCAAAAGTAGTCGTAAGGGGCTTCAGAGGTCATCGTTAGGGCCATCATAGTCCAGCGTGGCCAAACAAGCCTCCGTGGTGGCGTTCGGAGACCACTGTGGGGCCCTTATAGGTCTTCATGATGCTTGAGGGCCCTCGAGCCCATCGTGGGGACCTCAGATGCCAGCGCGGCCCGTGGAGCCAACGTGGGAGCCCTCAAAGGATGTCGTGAGGGGCCCTGGAACCAATAATGGGGCCCACAGAGGCCGTCGTGAGGGCTCTCAGTGTCAGATGCCGCCCAAAAAGTCGCTGTGTGGGCCGAGAGACCGGCATGGAGAGCACCCGACCGTACCGGACTCTCAATAGTCCCAGATCGGCTTTTGTCTCTCATCACAAGTATGTAATAAATGATTTGACGGGCTGCTTGAAGGACAGCCTACGAATTTAGGGGGGCGTCTTTCCCCATCAGGACAGGGGGCATCTTACCCCAAGGTACCGAAGTAACATTAAATCAGCACAATTTGTTAGCCATAAAACTATACCCTGAAACAAACTGTTTGGGACACAGTACACGCATGTTAATGTATCACGACTATAGCAAGGGACGCAAAAATTATCTACCTTCTTTGATATTTACAATGTTTTGGCGCCAAAATATTTTTTGAAAGCAGCAAATAAAAAACATGCAATCACCAGCCAGCCGTTGCCCAACTGAGCTTCGCAAATTTTTGTGCAGTTAACAAGGCAGGCTTCCGCTTTACGCTAAGAACATTAATTTCCAGGTTCGATTCTTTGTTTCCCCGCTAGAGGGGGTCTTTCCCACCCTGGGCATCTTACCCCACTCTCCCCTACCGCTCGAAGGACGGGCACTGTCAGTCACTTCAGTCGACAATGCCGCTGGATCATATCTTTACCTGCACAAAATGCATCTAATTATAGTTCGTTTTTTCTAAGTTCGACCCTCACCGTAAACATCTTTTTGAACAAAGCACGAGATTTGCTAGCTGAATTACTTAGAAAACTGGTTAGCGCACATTGTACTGGAGGTATGAATAATATTTTCCAAATAAGTTTTTAGCACCAATTATATACCCTTATGTTAAACGCCGTACGATTTATTGATTAGTTCAACTATAATTTCTGACAAGTCGTCTTTTTCTGTGGGGTTGTATATATAGGCAAATGCGAGCTAGGAGTCTGGGAAATAAGAGCAAGGAAGAAATCATTTTGAGTAAAATTAATCGTCTGTGAAATCAATGTGCGGCAGTCAGTTTTCTCAGTAATTCAGCTAGCAATTCTCGTGCTGTCTTAAAAGAGACGATTACAGTGAGGGTCGAACTTAAAAAAAAAACGAACTTTATCGTGGTTTTACGATTTGGAGGTAAACTAACTTCAGTAAGCACAGGAAGCATTAATTAAGCTTTTGATAAAATTTAGTGAATTTTACGGGTCAAAGACGTAAGAAAAAACATTTTCAGCTTTCTTCCAGCCAAATCAACAGCGAAACCCAGTATCATTCAGCACGCATTTTCAGTCAGATCAACAATCGACTGTAACACTGAGATGGTAAATGGAATGGCGATATGATGATATGATGGCGAACGAAACAGCCCGATAAGGTTTAGGTTTTATTTTTACTCGAGTTAATCCGACAAGAACCTTATATGTTTTATACGTATAATGTGAATGGCTAAGTGAGGTTAAGTTGACTGTATACGTCTTCAGAAACGTATTGAATAAAAGATATAATGAGTAATGACTACCAGCAAAACAAAGTAAGACGGCTTGAAAGCCTCAAAGGGATTTGTGAAGTTGATTTGAATCAAGCATTGAAATGTTATACTCGTAGCAGTTCATACTCAAACCAAGGTAGATTATAATAGTAACTGAAACTTTCATACAACATATAATAACTACGAGCAAAAGGAAGTAAGGTGACTTGAAGGCCTCAAAGAGAATTGGCAAGTTGATTTAAAACAAGCTTTGAAATATTTTCATAACATTTTATACTTACTGAAACTAAGGAAAAGTACAACCGATGGCTTTTGTTCAATAGTTAACCCGCGCCCCGCTGGGCTATTCAGCCATACGCGCCCTGCTGGGGGGGGGGGGGCAGATTCTGCCCCCCCCCTGTCTAACTTCCGAACCGATGGTCGTAGAAAGACGGGGGAAAACGGCAATCGAAAGCTCTCAACAAGGCGGATCTTAGGAGCCCAAATTTTTTTGCTTAAGTAGGTCAGAGGTCAGGTCAAGGTCAGGTCAAGGGTACAAAATGCAAGTTTCTACAGTATCGGCCTTGCACCGTAGTTGCCGAAGAATGGACTGAGACTGATTGCCCTAAACGTGTTCTTAGACTACCAAGACAATATTCGTTGCACACAATGTCATTCAAAGGTCAAGGTCAAGGTCAGGTCAGGTCAGGTCAGGTCACCAAAAACAAAATATAGAAAAGGGCATGTGCGACACATGTTTTATGGGTCATTTTACTCATGGAATTCAATAGGCACACTCAATAAGTGATATGGACCACCTCTGGATGAATTTCAGGTCGAGGTCAGGTCAAGGTCAGGTCAAGTGAGGTCAAATTTTGAAGTTGGTTGTTAAGGCCTAAAAAGGTGTCTATCCGATGCAGTTTTTCACGGCGAATCGAATGGTGCTATTTTTGTTTCCGTACGAGGTCTAGAACTTCCAAAAAAATCATTTTTCAAAAATTTTGTGTGTCGTGACGTCATAAAATTTTGAATAACTCCCACATTTTTGAACCGATTCTTCTAAAAATTGGTATGTAGGTGCACATAGACCAGTTCTTTGACATATATTCCGGTTTTTTCGATAAACCCAAAATTTTGGATTTTATAAATATTTTCCCAAAAAAAGTCAGTTTTTTGGAAAAAATTTTGGCCAAAATCCAAAATTTTCAAAAAACTGAGATAGCCATTTGATAGACAAAGTAGAATCACGTATAACCTTTTTTGTTACGTCTTGATTCCTTTAAAAATGAAGATGTTAGCGGCGTTTGAAATTTTGCCGTTTTTGAGGCGAAAATGGCGAACATGACGTCACTAAAACGTCAATTTCTCAAAAGTTTTCCGACGGATTTCGCTCAAATTTTCA